AAAAAAAAAGTAAGAGCCGGAACCGGAACGGAAGACAAACGCAAAGACCCATACGTAGACCTCCCGTAGGCCCTCCCGTAGGCCTTCCTGTAGGCCGTCGCGTTGCCCGGGGCCTGGGTCTAATATGACCCCTGTCATGACCCCAGGGCCTGGATGTTAGACCCAGGGCTTTGGGTCTGACATCGGGCCCCGGGGTAGACCCTACTGTTCCTGATAGGATTCTCAAGCTCCACTTGTGGTAGTCCTCGTAATGTTAACAGAGTGGCAGCACTGCTTGCAGTGCCATCCATACAACTAGATATCCGACGTTACACTTAGGTTTGGAAATATCCGGAGTTACTAAGCTCTAGCATGTCTCTACAAGCTAACTCCGCTTTGGCGCGCAGCAGCCGCAGCGAAGCAAACATTGTGGCGACGTTGCACGGCCACCGCATCGTTCACAGCGCCCAATGCAAATGCTCGCGCACTCCAGGAGCTGCCCATCTACAGGGCCGGAAGAGTCGACGGACGACATTGAAGTGCCGTTGGGGGACATGCTGGCGGGAGCCTGCTGCTTTATGAGCTGTCGGAAAAACGTGCGTGAACCAAAACAATTGAAAAGTTTGCGTGCCGGAGCCGTTTGCGATATCGAGGCCGTGGCGGCGCAGAGCTCAGAGATCTCAGAGCACCACCGACTGGGGTGAAAACAGCCGGGCGTCGCCTTCGACCAGGCAGTCGATCGCAAGCATCGGGGGGTTACCCGCAACTGCGGCAGCGACGCTCCACTGGCAGTGCGAGCCCAACCGACTAGCGTAACAGAGAATTCAACTCTCTTGAAATTTCGAGGACGAACGGAAACGTGTCCGGGACAACAGTGCGGCCTTCCATTTGTAGAAGCGACGTCCTCGCTGACTCAGCCGAGCAGCCCCCCCTCGCCAGTAGGCCGTAGGTTGTTGCCTGGATCTTGGGCATGAGCACTGGGACCGCTGAGTGGACGGACATAAAAGAGAAAAAAAAAGACATACGTGGGTAGGTACGTACATACGTATGTATGTATGTATGTATGTATGTATGTATGTTTGTATGTATGTTTTCGGAGAGGAAGCGCCCGTGCTGCCGGCTGACGCCCTAGGGTTTATTCACAAATGTGTCAACAGGGCTTAAGGTTTAGGGTTTAGGGTTGTGCTCGACTTCGCCGAAGCAGCGGGGCCGAGCCGACTGACGCTCTGGCCGTAGCAGCAGCTTTTGCAAGCTAGTGGGACAGCCACGGACGCCTTCGGCAGCAGGAAAAAAATTCTTTCCACGGCACGTTTGCCGCTCGGGTTCGGCGGCCTAGGTCTGCGATCTGCCGCCAATCTGGCGCTCCTGTCGCCTACGGCGGGGCCTCGTGGCAGCGAGCTTGCAACCGCGCGACAGGCGCGTCTCATCATCATTGGCGTCGAGGTAGGCGGGCGCTTTGGAGTTGAAGCAGCTTCCTTCCTCCGGCACCTTGCGCGGCACCGTGTTGCCGGCCCCCCGCCGCCTGCGCAGGCTGGGTCCAGCGCTGGTCCGGCATCCTCGCCGTCGCCGCTAGGCGCGCGTTCGCGGCGTCGCTGGGGGAACTGCGGCCTCACGCTGACCCTATGATGCGGGAGGGGCGCCTGACCTCCACGAGATCCTCGCTGACGACTGTGCCAGCCCCTCGCACTGCTCGCAAGCCGCCTACCCTCGCGCCCGTAGTTCTCAGCTTGCACTTGGACCGCGGCGGATGATCGAAAAGGATTCGAAAAGGTGCGCAAAACAAAATGTCCGCAACGCGGCTACTGAATGCTTGCGCCGTTTGTTTATAATTTATTGCGACGTTGTAAGGGTGTGAACTGGTCAAAATGGTCGAGGATGCATATATGTTTCATTCAGATGCATTCTGCACCGTGCGAGGGTACGACGTGTTCTTGATTCTGACATGAAAAACACAATCGGAGGTAGCAGAAAATTTTAGGTATGCGGTCAGTTTCAACACTTGTTTTTCGCACCAACGGGGCTTGCGAGCGGGAAGCAAATGCATTTCGGAACGAAATCGAATGTATTGACATCGACAAACGTGAATTGGTCTGTGGCATCTTACCTCCGTTCCTTACCAGCTCCTCGGGCAAAGCATCCCTGAAAGCATTTTTTAAAACAGTTTCGAGACAGCAAGCTTTAAGTTAAGTTGCACGGTTGTTTCTTCAAAATTTGATTAGATCCCGGTGCTACGGAAACTTGTTTAGACATAATGTTCAAGCCTCGCGAAAGTGTGATGATGGCCGGGCGCACATCATCGCGAGAGGCTCAATTGCAGCCGCTGGAGCCCGAGATTCCCAGCATCACACAAGCATGACATGTGTTCAGTTGGTCTTGTTACATTGCTAGACCTCCTCTTCCTCTGTTCAGAACTCGTCCTATGGTTCGTGAGGAAACAACTTGCTAGGCTTTTAAAAAACACAACGAGGCAAGTCAACTTTCAATCGACCGCGTGCCCACGAAGTTGCAAGAAGCTTGTGACTTGTTGTTGTAACCACCCGATTGCACGCTGTAGCCGAGTACTCCGCTGAATTGGTGACGAAATGGTGGTGCTGGTTATGGTGATGACAAGTGTTTATGGTTGTGCTGGTGGTGGTGATGTTGCTGCTGGTGTTGCTTGATGTCGAGACTACGTACGGTGACGTAATATGTTTGGTTGTTCAACCTGCTAATGCTCCGTTTTAATACGGCGGTTGCGGCCACATTTGTTTTTTTTCGCACCGTTGCAGTATTGGTTACTGTTGCTGTTGGCGCTGTCATGAGTGTTGCTGCTACCCCTCTAGGTCTAGGGTGTCGCTGCTGTCACACTGGCCAGTTGTTTCGCTGTTAATTCCATTGAACACTGTCATTGCCCTTGTTGCTCTCGTGGTGTGGTAGCCGTTGCATGTCGTCGCCGTCCTAGTCCCCACCGCCGCCCTCGCCTGCCCTTGCCCATTGCAGTCGGCATGCCTTCTCGTGCTGGCACTGTTTTTCATCCCGTTGTATGGTGACGCTTGGGTGATGACGATAACACATAAAATGCTTTTCTTGATTCTGCTGCCAGCGAAGGTCATTACCAAGGAAGGGTGATGGTCCTGTAGATGTACATTTGTCTGTCGGTCGGTGAGAGATGGTGAGAGCAACACGACAGTCAGGGTCCGGGAGAAGCCGGATGAGCAGCTCGGCCGCAGGGCTTGGTGTGTTCAGGTGTGGGGTTTAGCTTTTTGGGTTTTGGTCTGGTCCTTCAGCCTTGGAATACGATTCCATCCGAATGTAAGATAGCACAACATCTGCTTAAACTGACAAACGGTTCGAGTTATGTAACCAGAGCCCAATGCCTCAAAAAAAACAAGCTTGCGATCTGCTTTATGTTGTAAACGTCCCGGGCATAACCCCCACTTGTTGGCAATAAATTGTAGCATTTAGCGCGAACCCGTAGACTTTTGTCATTTCATTGTTTTGTGCGGCCACCACGAAGCTTTGTTCCGTTCGTTGCGAATCCGAATGGCAATGATTTGCCGCTTAGTTTTCGTATCTCAGGAACCTAGTCACCAAAGAGGGCTACCCACCAACAGTTTCTGCATGTCGGGGTTTATGGAGCATGCAGACATAAAGAAGCCCGTTGATAAAGGGGCTCAGGTAAATGTCAGGATCATTGGTCGGGGCCTGCGAAATAGGGTGTAAGACTTCAGTGCGTAAGGCCCCCGGGCTTCTTTTAGCAGTTCCTCGCATGCTTTACAAGGTTTAACGAAGATTTTGTTCTGCTTTTTCAAGTCAAGGTTCTGTCATGGTGCGGAGTTGACGCTTAGAGGCTCATGGTGCACCCGTCCGCGGCATCGGCTTGGGAAGACTGTCATGGCTTGCGACCCCAGATTAGGGCCTTGACAATCAGAATTTTCTTTGATGTTAACAACGAAACAAAAGGCACCACAGGGAACATTACTAGCAATTATCCTAGCTACAGCATGGTGGGCTCATGTGGGCTCGCTCCCAATCAGTTGTAAGCCGCCACCCGCTAGAAAAGAACAGACCCCGAAAGCTTTAACACCCAAAACGCTTTTTACTTACACAACTTTATAATCCCCCAGCCGCTTAAGAGCCCTAGTCAGTGAGAGGTCCGGGCTCGAGCCTCGATTGCAGCGACGACCGGACGACCACTCCTGTGGGCCTGCCCTCGGGTTAAGGGTTCATCTAGGCTTGGCGATTACGGCTTGGCGGTTTAACGTTTTTCCGGGTTTAGGGTTTAGGGCAGGGGTTGCTGGTGTTACCTTTTGGAGTACTTGGGGTTTGGGGTGTTGCTGGGTTAGAGAGAGTTTTATACAATTTTTATTTAGATTCTGCAGATTCTGCATTCTAAGGGTAGAAAGTTGGCATGCCCAGAGCATCGTCAGTTCACCGACATCACCCTTAGCCAGAAGGCTCTTTCGGAGCATAAAACAGCCTCACTGTGGCCGTACCGCAAGCTCTTCGAGGTGAACCCCTAAGCCCCTCCCCACACCTTAAACCCAACCCACGAGCTTTTAAGAGGTTTGCTTGTCCTTGGCAACTGCAACCCGGCACCCGAATATGGAGGTCTGAACATTGTATTAGTGATAGCTTTCCGAACAGTACTCCCGTCGAGTCCATCTTCGAGTATATTCAACATACCATATCATACCCTAGGCCTTTTGAACCAGAACAGAGCACATATTCAGCCGAGGGCACCATGAAGACCGAGAACACGGAACACTCAGTTGGTGGTGTGGAGGAGCCGCAGTTGTCAATTTAGGGTTTCGGGGTGATGTGCAAGTCTGTGCAAAACGGGTTGCGGGCTGCAGGAAACATCATGCCTTAAAGTACATTACAAGTCAGTTGCCGGACATCCTGTTTGATCCTGTTGGGACATGGGAGTGCAAAGTCTTAACTGGTAAAAGGTAGGATAAATAAACACTTAACCAGGTGGCGGGCTACTTAACCTTTTTGCAAATCGCTGCTTTGAGGGGATGTCCGGAAGGGTTGCAGCGCTTCGAGGCCTCTTGAATCTCATCTAGCTTGTGGTGCTAAGTCGATGCTTCGGGTCAAGACGCGACTCGAAGGAAACAACCGCTGTATCATAGACCCTAAGCTCAAGCGTAGGGAGTGAAGTCTTTGTTCATTCACTGCAGTGTGCATCAGTCCAGTCGACCGTATCCTCATGAACGCAATGCATCCCATTGCACCGACTCAGGGTTGACATTTTGCCCATTGCGCATCGTGAAGCCCAGTCGAACTCAGGTCGCATTGCGGGTTGCTCTAAATCAAGTGTGCCATTCGGGTACCTACAACCTCCATGGTCCAGTTGGGGCGGGCGGGGAGGCGGAGCCAACATACCAGTTCCAACAGGCGAAGTCGGCCAAGTCTTTGCCTCCAAATCCCATAGTCAGCGCTGAGCACCTCAAGCGCACAACCTAACATTTTGAACCCCAATCCTTACTCGAGTTTCATCCCTAAGCCCAATTTTTCAAATACTTGAAACCCTCGGCACCCTGAGCCCTATAAACCTTTTTCCCCCAAACCCTGAATCCTAAACCTCGAACCCTAAATCCCCCGACTCCATCGCCCGACGCCTCGAGTCGATGAGCCTTCTCGTCCCGGATCAGAAAGGCGAGCTGCTGGTGGTTTCAGGGATCGGGGGTTACCTGTAGGTGTTGGGGGTTTTGGGTTCAGGGGTTTAGGGTCGGGTCGTTCAGGGTTGAACACTGGGCTCGAGCGTTTAGGGGCTGTTTGTCTTCGGGCTTAGAGTTTCAAACAAGGTTAAGCACCAGGTCATTCGGGCCAGGGTTGAGGAGAAATTTAGGCCTTGGTAAGGGCTTGAACAGCTGTTGCCAACTGGTGGGGCTCCTATCGTGAAGAAGTTTTGCAGTATTGTGCACTATGAGGGTCTTCAGCCGTTTTCCTTGGATTGCATGGGCTGATTCGGAATTCTGCATCGATGTGTCGCACGGCCCATGAATGCCAAATTGCCAAAAGACCAGAAATTGAATAATTCAAATCATGAATAATGATACTACGTCCAACGTCCGAAAACACGTGCAGCAGCCCTTAACTGTTTGTGGAAATGCAACTGAGGATGCATCTTCGGGTTTCGGGCAGCCTGGGACTGAAATCATTCATCCGAGACAGATAAATCCCTAAACCCTGCGCTCTCAACCCACCTAAACAAAAAACGCACTAAAAGGTTTAAAGCTTAAATTCCTGCGGACTCAGCACGCAGGCTATACCGCACTGCCCAACCGTGAGGTGAGGGCAAACTCTGCTTCTGGGCTGCGGTGCGGGGCTGTCTTTCGGGCTCAGGTTGTCGGAAAGAGATTGAAGTCTTTAGTGCCAGAGGTCATGATGAGAAGACTAACGTACTGATTACCGCTGCCACGATTGACAGTTCTTCAAGCTTGCAATGCACGCCGTAGTCGTTTGCCTGAGTGTGACATCTGTTTCACTTGGAATGTGAGAGAGGCATTTGTCAGACATGAGAATGTCAACACCGAAGCCCTTGACCACGAGACCTGAATCGCTTGCACCCATTCACCCTTACCAACTGGCCTTGCATGATTTGGTGTTATCTTTGACAGTAGTGGAGACCACGAAGTGCATATTATGCGTCTGAGTAGTTATTCATAGCAAACTATTCTAAGATTCACTTTCCAGCGGCTTCAAGTTTGAGGTTTAGGGACTGCAAAGTGTCAGTTTCGGGTTGCTTGGCCGATGCGCCAACCTACAAGATGAACGAGCAACGTGGGAACAGGTATTGAGAAGTACTGCGGCGGATAACGCTGAGCAGCATGTACACTTACATAGTCGCACTGCATCAGTATCAGTAGTGGAAGGGTGCTGCTGTGTAGAGTTGCATAGGAAGAAGAAGCACAGTAGTCGCACAATCGTCAGGCGCAGTGGAAATTCAGTAGTTGAAGTTCGGAGCGAAGCAGCCTCGGCAACAGCATCAGGTGATTCGTGTTCACCACGAAATATCATTGCCTCAAGTGCCTCAAGTCCCAAGCAAAGTCTCCAGCGTCAACAGCTTCGCGAACTTGATCATGTAGATGTTCATCACCCATCACTGCCAGCACTATTAACAGCATCGTCGTCGTCTTCGTCATATCGCCAAAACCATGCCCAAGAAGAACAGCATCGCTGTAACCATCATCACGGGTTGACGGCTAGAGCAGTATCAGTAGTACGGGAAGTACGGGTACTCATGGCTGTGACACGATGATGACAAAGTCAGGCAGTGACTTGATGGCCATGGTCGTCCTGAGGCAGATGGAAACACCAACGTTGACAATTGTCATGCTGATGCTGATGCTGGATGTTTTTGTTCTTCGGGTTGTTGTGGCTGGCAGTGAGCAGAGATGGTACTAGCACCACATGTACGTGCGGCTTGCACGACTAGGAGAGCGCTGATGATCTTTGAGGTGAGGGTGGTGGTGACGTTTCTGTTGTTGCTGCCGCGACTGCCTGCCAGCAAGTGCGCTTCCCAGGCTGGAAGCGTCGCAAACAGCGACACTGAAGCGCCAAACATGCGCCGCTGAGATTGTAGCCAGCATGGGATTCACGGCTGGTGCACCGAGTAACTAAGCGAATAACTAGTGTAAGCCACTCCTGGCTTATATCTCGTGAGGAAAGAGCCGCTTGGCCTGTCTGTGGTGTCCGCATATCCGCGTATGCATCCAAGAATCCAGAGGCATTTGGTAAGCTCGACGTACACTGCAGCGCGTGTAGAACGCAGTTTCTGTTAACGGCACTCCGGAAGGCTGGTTGTGGATGTTATCTGGACTGAACCGCATCTGCTCCGCTTTCATTGCACGCTATGAACAGCAGAAACCCCAAACCTGAGGCCTGAAACTTCAGTGCTGCACGTCTGCTGCTTCCGCACTTTCCCTGATCTGCACCTGATTGAATATCTGAGGCTACCGGGACACTGTCCGGATGGATAAGTCCGCGGAAATGGGCATCTCTTTGGTGGAGACGCTCAGCTAAGGCTGTATTTGTCAGGTAGGCGGGCAGCCATGCCAGATTGGGTTTAAGGTTAAAGGTATGAGTGCTTGTGAAGATGGCAGCCAAGCATTCCCGTTCTGTTGCATGCGCACGAAGTGCGACCATCAACTCCTGAAAACGACCATCAAATGGATCACATCATCCTGGATTCAGAATATGGTCAGAAAGTCAGAAAGTTCCCTTTCGAACGCGCCCTTCATCCCTAAGCTGCCCAGGTATCGGCAGAAGATGGCCAGCGCCAAGCTGGTTGGAGCTCTGGTCTACATGGACATGGGCAGGGTCAATGTCGACGCTCGGAGCTTTTTGTTGGAGGTACAGCACGAAGTTGCGGGTCCTTTGTACTGGTAGCATATACACCATTACAGGGTTTAAAAAAGGGTGCTATGTCAGGGGTTCAATACTGTTGATACAGAAAGTCTTGCACCAGTTTGAGAATAGGCCAACAATGCGAGTGATGTCCAGTCCTGGGAAGGGCCGTGGGTTCCACTGACAAAATCTTGATCCGATATCATGAGTCAACATGTGGGAGGTGCAAGATTTCCTCCATCCACCGGCAGGATCCCTGCTAGGGGAACAATTCTGGGTGGTTTTGCCAACTGTCTAGGGAGGATTTGGACGGCAACATGGCAGACCAGCCTTTTCTTATGGTTTTCCATGGTTAACACTACAGTTAACACTGCCGCAAGACTGCCAACACCAGCATTTTTTCCAACAACAATTAGGCGTTTTCTTCGTTAATGCATAAAACAAAAAGGTGCTGTTTTTGCAGCATGTTGGCTGTAGTAACTGTAGTGTTAACTGTATAGTGTTAACTGAGTGTTATCTGACAGGAAGCTACAAGAATAGCTGCTTAGCTAATTGCAAAGCATATCGAGCCTGCTCGCCAGAGCATGGGGAAGGCTCTCCCGACGAAATTTCAACAACCTTTACAAGCACGCCGTCCCAAAAGCACCTCCACTCCTAGAAGCTTCTCCATATTTCGATTTGACGATGCCGACGGGCGTACGGTTTATGAGGTTCCTTTGACGGATGATCCTTTGACATACTGGTGCACGTCTGTGGCTCTCTGTGGCGAAATGGGGCATGTTGCTGATGTGTAGTGGTGCTGAGGAGGCTTTTCAACCGTTCAGGTGTCATGTCCGCTAGCTCTCAGTCAGGCCTTTGCTGTAAGGTGTAAGCTTGCGGAGGCCGTTTGCCCGTTGCATGTTGCTACAATTGAAGACGGAAGAAGCTACACACAGCCCTGAAGCCGATTCTAAACTTCTAAACTCTATCGCCAACCAGCTGTAACATCGAAGCCTACATGATTGGCACCACTACTTCGTTGAATTTCGCTTATCGTTATAGTTGAATACACCCGCGCAAACTTTGTTCAAATGCTGCTCTGCTTAGCCCGGGGTTGGAAGCAGAGTGCCGGGATTTCGAACAGGCAAGGCATGCTGACTGAAGCGAAAAATTCTCGAACCCACGTGCAACTGCAAGTGCTGCTCTTACTGTTTCTTCTGTCGGTCCTTTGCAGAAACCGGTCGCAGCACTGGGAATGAGGACACGGACATACAGCATGCCGGCAGTACTCACTTAACGGTTCAAAAGCCCACAAGCCAAGCCCCAAACCTGAACAGATTCAATTCCTCAATCTCCCAAGGAGCCAAGCTCCGTGTGACCTCGCGGATGAATCGGGAGTCCTATGGGAGACTGCTGCTGTCATGACGGTTTAGGATTTTTGGGGCTTAGGGCTTCGGATTCTACTATGTTATGATGATTGCTGTTACCGTGGCAGCTGTTGCTGCTAGCAGCATTGCGGTTGCGGGTGTCTTCTTAGAGTCTTCTTCTTGCTATTCTCCTATTATCAGGAGGCATCCGAAACATGCTTCTCACGGGAGGCTTCAAGGTTTGGGGCTTAGGCCTGGGGTGGAGGGTTTAAGTTCGGGGCAGGAGTTGAAGCTCGGTTGCAGTTTGGTGTCCGGATGGTGGAGATCCGGCTAGACAGGTTTCTCGGTCGAGCCTTTGAGGGCCTCTTAGGGTTTAGGGTTTAAAGCCAGGGTTCCGTTCTGTTGCTCCTGCTGGGAGAGAAGCCGAAGGCTTTGAAGCCTGTACCCCGTCGGGGGCAGAGTATGAGAGCCCTGCACCCCAGATCTGTGTTTCTACCTTGGGTTTTTGTGTACCTGCCTGAGCCCCAAACAGCAAGCCGTGGATGTTCAGATTTTTTTCAGCAGGGAATACGGTGCTCATGGAGGAATTTACCATATCATGTCTCTAGCATTTGGCAGATCACGACTTCATGCCTGCAGCTTGGCCCAAATCTGTGCGCCTTCACAAGAACAACCTTTAACGCTTGCAATCTCCTAAAAACCCTTAATCCCTGTAAAGCCTAAAACCCTGAACCCTAGACCCTGTACAAAAAGCATCCGGGCGGAGGTACGGTGCGGCTATTCTGATGCCACAGGCGCACTCCATGTTCATGGCGTAAACTGCAAGGCAGCTTCTGGTAACGCTTTGCTTCCAGGTCAGTACTTAAACATAGCTTTTTTGTTCTGGTATAGCATACGCTCAAGCAGGAACGAAAGCCACAATGATAGGACCTCAGAGAAAAGCCTAGGCTTGACTAGTGACTATGCCAGTAGACACGAGTCGGAGAAAACAACCTTCGACTTGTTTTCGTTCGGGCTTAAGGTGTACGGTGAGCTCGACAACGAGGCCTGCTGGAAAAAAGATGAGTCATTGTACAGGCAAGCAAATCGTCATATGCAAACCGAGCTACTAAGACCAATAGCCCTGGTCCCTCACAGGACGCCGCTCACGCGTTTTAGGACCAGGCATTCGTGGATACTTAGATTCCCCCACGGTAAAACAAAGCACACATGAATGCAGTCTCTTGGGCTCTTCGATCTCGACCCTATCTGCTCCGTGAAGGGGCATCCGGATTTCTTCACCTCACCGGGTTCAGTTGCACAGAAACCTGCACCCAACGCCGGCAACACTTCCTACCCAGACTACCGGAAGCATCTATTTGGGACCCTATGCTACTAAGGTGTACTTCAAAGGAACCCTCTGAGGGGATCTATTTTTTAGATCCTTCCGGTGGTCCGGGTATGAAGCCGAAAACAACCCTCAACCCCGAAAGCCTTAAACCCCTGAAGCCCTCACAACTCGGACAAGTTGTGATTGCTGAGATCCCTGAAGCCTGAATAGGAAACCCTAAGCCGGGTTCGCAGGTAGCCCGGACGGCGGGATGGCCACGGTCAATGGCAAGACCTGTCCCTCGGTTACATCAGGATCTTGGATTCCTTAGCGCCTTTTTCGTGTTTGGGGTTTAGGGCTCTAGTGCCACTATACATAAGCGCCTCCTTAGGCAAACCCTAGAAGGCCAACATCGTGTCGTTGTTGGTGCATCTTCATGACTGGAATGCCGCTGCGTTCTAGGCGTTTCTCTCTACAGCCCTCAACCCTAGCAACCCTTAAGCCGCCAGAGACGTGTTCTGCCAGTCTTGAAGGTCCTCCAGAGCTACTTCTACCTTTACGTTTGCATGCTCATTCATGGCGCTTTGCAACTGGGCCCGGTTGGCGGAAGCTTGAGGGGTTTCCAGTTGACACCCGGTTCAGGGTTTAGTGTTTATAGGGTTGGGTGTCTAATACAACTCCATTGGACAGTCTGGCACATCAGAGAGTTGGAGATTCAAAAGTGTTGAGTGTCCGTCATTGCCCAGTCAGTGGCGCGGTGCTGGTTCGGAGGATAGAAAGGCTCTGCCCCAAGACCCCGCAGTACCCACATGAGGCTCTGCTATATCCGCAAGGAGCAGACAGTGATGGACCTCTTTGCAGGACGTTGTGTTGGGTTTAGAGGTGTAAAGGCTTTACGATATTTGCGAGGGCTTCACCAACGAGGATGGTCAGGCATCTGACTTGTTTCAGGTGGAATTGGCGTAACACAGAACAGGTTGAATTTTTTTGAACCTACACCTGTGATGAAATTAACGCAATATGCTAGAAATACAGCCGGCAGCCGACAGGGAATGCTTCAAGCAGCTAAAGACACCGGCACAAAGACCGAATTTCTCAGGGCAAGATGATTGGAACATATGAAACAGGCTTTATATTATGGAATCTCGCGAGTGTATACAGGGCTCCTTTGGAATCTTGGTGAGTTTATGTTTCGAGTGTTGTGATTGGGGGACTCGCGATAGAAACCGAACCCATGTTTTTGGCCAACAATACAAACTAGAAAGTTGGACATTGGCATCCCCTGATTTTGAAGCCTTTAGAACAATGCGAAAAGGAGCACGATGCCTCGCTTTCTCTTCCAAAGTGGTGCTACTGAGCTTCGGACCTGGGATCTTGGGTTGGGTTTTGAGGATATTAGCTCAGGCATCCGGGGTTTGGACTTCCCCGAACCCTTCGGCCCTTTACCAGGCTTCAGGGCTCAGGGGCAGCATAGTTCCACCATCACCGTCCCTTAGGCCAACACTGGTCTGAGCATGGAAATCCTGCAGCCCCCAGCCTTGAACACTTAACTCGCAAACGGCTTTAAAACCCTGACCTCCAAATACCCGATGAATGTCTGAAGCGTGGGTTCCTTAGCCCTCAAAGACCTAAAACCCTCAAAGCCCTTGTGCCCTTAGGAACCCTATACCTATAGTCTCCATTGTAGTTCGTTTTTTGGTTTAGCCGAATTCCATATTGAGGCTTCTCTCAGTAAACCCAAGAAGGAACTACAATGGAGACTATAGGTAAGCCCATGAAGGCTGCACTGGGCCGTCTGGGGGCAGCGTCACGGCGCCCAGGCTCTACAGCTGGAGCTCCTCGAACGAAACTTGTGGATGTAGAGGGCTTGTTTGTGGATTTAATACGGCTTGTGGGGGGCTTACAGTTCATAATGGTTGCCAGCGTATAGGATTCATACCGGATATTTGGAGTCTTAATAATTGGCGGTTTATAAGATTATCGGGTTTAGAGGTTTGGGATTTTGAAGGTTAGCGCTGAGGAATTGCGCTTTCTTTGAGTCTAGGGGTGGGGTTCAGGACTTCAGCGTTGACGAGTTGAGGGTATATGGGTTTCAGCCCTAAATCCGTCATTCAAAATCTCTAGACTCGACAGGGTCTGGAGTTTGCATTGTGTGAAGCCCCAGGTGCCTGGCAAACGCGCAGCTTCGTGGCAGCTTCCCTGAAGGCCCTCTTCCCGGACAAGGCAGACGACATCAGGACGGGTTTCAGGGTTTGGTGATGCGCACCTGTCTTTTGGTGATGCGCACCTGTCGAGGGGTTTGGGCTCTAGGGCGGTTATTGGATTTCGAAACGAGACCCTGGGCCCGACATTGCGTTAGCAACTGGGAGCAAAAGAGGGTCAAAAGGCGCCTCCTAGAGGCTTTGGAGTCTCGGCCTTGTGAGAGTTGTAGCGTGGAGACTTTCGAGGTGCGAGCTTGGTATTAACAGCTCCCTGCCCCCCCCTTAAAAGCACAGAGTATGTATCTGTGTGTGTGTGTATATATATATATATATTGTGTAGATGTTGATGGTTCGCTATCACTCTGAGCCCTGTTTCCCACGCAAAAAATAATAGCCCAACCTGGGGCCCGCAGGAGCAATGTCGACCCTGGCGAGTATGGTGTTGAGAGCTACAACTGCCGGCTTCTATGTTGCTTGGTGTTTGCCGGGACCTTATTTGTTTGCAGGGCCTGCGCCGTCATGGAGAGGCCTTGGAATTTCAATTGCGATTTGGTCACCATCAGCAGATAGGGCTGTCAAGCTTCGCCCGCTGCCCTCAACCATCTCAGTTCGTTGTGCCTTGGGCAGGTTTACCACAGAGAGAACACGAAAGCTGTCGCCCTGATGTTTAGGGTTTGGGGTTGTTGAGACTGGCCCAAGACTGGCCAAGGTCATCAGCATCGGACAGGATGGCCTTTTCCACAGCGCTGCCATCGATTGTTTGGGGCTTTAGGGTTTCGCATAGTAGGGATCGATTAGCCGGGTTTCCGTAAGGGGAAGGCTTTAGAGGGAGCTTGGGATCCAATGTTTGAGGGCTCAGCTTGCGCTGAGAAAGAGATCCGGGATCAGCCCCCAGAAGCGTATGCTCCAGAGCACGAGAAAGTCATTCCGTAATTCTATACCGAACAATGGTTCGTCCAAACCTGAGAAAGTATAGAAGTATAGAGCCACGGGACCAGTCAGAGAAGTGTAGAACAATTTTGGTTTCATGGTATGTTTGTCATGTGGATCCTGATGCAAATGACTGAGTTGCCAAGCCGCCCGTCAGGAGGCGCACAACATCATGCAGATGGCCAGACTTCTGTGACTTGCTTCTTTTTGAAGGATTCCCAAACCCCGAAATCCCAACCCTCCGCCCTGAAATGCACCTTGTTTGGGAAGTGTGGCCAATTGACGTTGGTTTTCATCCTTGCTGACTCATGTGCGCAGAGTCTTGAACGGCACGTCGACGGCCCCTGAGGTATTACGTGCCGTCTACTGACGAGCCTTGGTATGAGCTGGGCGAGGAGGAGGTGGGGAAGGCTTAGGCTTAGGCTCAAACCATGTGGTTGCAGGATTTTGGGTTTAGGTTCTAGCAACCCTTCAATCAGGCTTGACGTTTCGAATGCCTGGGGAGAGAGAGAGAGAGAGAGAGTCGAAAACCGTGTGACGCAATGATAATTACTACTGTTGCTAACTACTTTTGTTGGATTTCCATAAGGTTGCGAACTAAACGACTCAGATCTTCGCAAGTTCCATCACTGGACATCTGAACTGATTTGGTGAATTGTCTGCCTGCAGCCCGACATATGCAACAGTAATTTCCAGCTCATGTGCCGTAGGATATCCATGAGACTTCACTTATGTTCCTAGGAGCCAAACCCCTAAATCCTCCTCGCACCACTGCTAAGAAATCTCACAGACCACCGTGCAAAAGCCCAACCATGCGAAACACAAGTTTGATATACTGTTAGACCCAGCTGGGGCAGGAAGACGAAGCGCAGGAGAGCATGGAGAAGTGGCTCGGGCAGGCTCTCCGGGTTGGGGCTTGGGGCGTGGGGTCCAATATAGAGGTCGTAATACTATCCCGTTGTAGCCCCAGCAGAACCGCAGTAGTATCACTCATCCCGAAAAGCGTCTTCGAAAAATTAAGGCAGCCACTTTGGCGTTTAGAGTTAAGGGCCTTTTGGACTTTATCTGACGACTCGCGAACTGTCCCAAACATCCCACTCAGAAGCCATGTGGAAGTTCATAAGCCGTAGGGTTCTGTAGGGTTTAACGGCCGTAATTAGGTTTTTTGATAGGTTTGGACCTTCGACATGCTCACTGGCACCGCTGTGAGCCGATAGGTCTCGTTAGTTGTTCTGTGGTATACAGTTGTCAGATGTCCAGTTGCACACAAGCAAACAAACAAACGAACGAGCGAACAAACACACACACACACAACACAAAAGCAGAGGATTTGGTTTGATAGTGTCACTGCCTTCCGCTTCGGAGGACGTCAACCCAGGGCGCTAACTTGAGGTCGTATAAAATTTAAAAGCCGTTACAAATTACCAGCATCGTCCATGGGATATTACCTATACTGCTAGAATATACCCCCAATTAAAGCCCTATTCGAAGGACAGCGAGCCCTATGGGAGCCTTTCTGAACCATTAATAAACTAGTTACGTAGATGTCTCTGGTCTGTTCAAGTCAAACCCTATAGTCCAGCTCTCTTAAGCCCTGAAACCCAAAAAACCCACAGAGTCTTGCAAGCCAATTATCAAAGCCATACTCCCTGCATCTTAACGTGGTGCAATGCTGGATGTAGACCCGAGGAGGCTACGATTCAAGAATGGGGTTGAGCGGGTTTGCATGGTTGCGTGCTACCTTTTGCCAGGTCACTGTGCAGGTGGCTGGCATGTCGAGGCCCGTGAATGCTGCTGCGCGCTTCCTCGACTAAGGGCCAGCGGTGTTTCTCGAGAGGGGACGGTCGAAGCACCTGCAGCACTCACAGGAAGGCAGGAGAAGGACTCGACCCACAAGGCACAGGGTTAACAGGTTCTTACCAACGGCACCACTTCTCGAACTCTTGAAGACGGCTATAGCCAATTCAAAACTTGTTGGTAGAGCTGGATACACTGCTCGACTTCCTGAACCACGGTGTTCGGTTTCTGTACTAGTGATACGCCCGAATCATTTCGTTCACTTGCGCCTCGTGTGTCGCAGCGACCTTGCAAACTCAAAATACACGGCATGTGCAGTTTGTCGGCAGTTCGCCGGTTTCCAACGGGCACGCAACTTCTGTCTAACAAATCTGGGCTTTGTTGGATGCAAGTTGCTCAAATTTCCAGCTTTGGTCGTGCGTCATGTTTCTATATGTTTCTCTTCTCTCGGGGTTTGGACATACGCGCGAAGCGTGCTGCAACACCGGCATCGTCACCCTGAAAGGAGGTTTGCGCAACCCAGAACCAATAATCGGGGATGAAATCTGGTAAACCTGCATATTGCCTGACAAGCGCAGAACCCTAAAAGCATAAACCCAACACCCTTACATGAGATGGTGGTTGAGAAACCCAATACCCAAAACGGGGATGTTGGCCG